AGGTGGCTCACTGTCATGATGGCTGAATGCAGCGTCCCGCAGGCTGCAAGTGTAGCCGGTTTGATAGTGTGGCGAAAGAGGGGTTTGCTGAGTAAACCCAGGCTGTGTTGCTGCTGGTCGTGAAGGCGTCCCGTAGGCACTGCCTCCGAGCGCAGGCATGATAAGGCTGAGTAGGAGTAGCCACCAGGTTGCAAGGGGTGGCTTGGTCCAGGTGGTTGTGGTTGCAGTTCCTGGCACCCGGCGGGCTGGTCCGCCGGGTCCAGGGTGTCCTTGCGATGTTTTTTCGACAGAAGGGCCTCGATGTTGCCAAAGCCCTGGGACATTTCCCGTCGCAGCTCGTCGTGGCGCTCATTGACGCTGACCTGTTGGGCGGCTGGGGCGAGTTGGGAGTTGGTGGCTGCATTGGCAGTGGCCGCCTCCGTGAACCAGTGCTCGAATTTGGTGTTTTGCTTTTGGAGTTCCGCAACGTTGGTTTCGAGCTGGTGGAATCGGGTCTCGAAGCGAGTCTGGTCAGAGTTCTCCATGTCGTGATCTCCGTCCCAGCTGCTCCAATGGGAGTCAAGCTGCTTTTGGAATGTGGCCTGTAGGTCTGCTTTGATGCGTTCCTCGGCCTGCTGGATTCTGTCTGCAGCTGGTGGTCCTGGTGCGGATTTGCCGTCGAGGGGGTGTTGGTTGAACCATTGGGACCATGGGTCTTTCCCGGCTTGCCAGGGGTCGTTGGTCCGTTGTGTGGAAGAGGAGGCGGCTGACGGCTCGTTGTTGCTGTGAAGAAATTTCTGGGTGCGGTCGAACGCAACCAAGTTGGAGCTGGCTGGAGTGGGTCGGATGGACCGGAGTTTGGTAACCAGGACGTCCCCATGGGCTCCTTGCAGGATGTTGCTTGGGGGTGCCAATTCAGCGCCAATTTCCCATCCGATGCCGTTGTGGTCACCCTTGCAGGGTTGAAGTGGTTTTGCGCGCCATCCCCAGGATGCGGGTGACTTGATGAGGCCTTGGCGCTGAGTGCCATGTGGCAGAGGGAAGAGCTTGTAGATGTCTACTACCTTGACCTGCAGGTAGGTTCGTCCGGCTTGAGTGTGTGGTGTGCCTGGGGTAGTTGTGCAGTGTTAAACCGCAGGCCGTAGCGGTCATTCAGCCGGATGACCGAGATGGATCCCTCGGTAGTGCGGTGCTTGTGGTGTGCAATTTGGAGCGTGGCTCCTGGTAGCCAGATGACTCCATAGCGCTCGTCCGGCGCTTTGCCGGATTGGTCGCGTGGGTCGATGAAGAGCCCGTTGGTTCCTGAGAGGGCGAGGAGGTTGGGAGTGATGACCTCAGGGACTCGAACTAGCGCCGTCCAGCAGACCGCCTTGTCTTTGTTCACTCTGGCCCCAGATGGGCTGGCCCATTGTCGGCCCCAGATGTCAAGGATGACGTTGTCGAGATGGTCTTCGTCGACAGGTGGGTGGAAATTCTGGCAGGAGTTTCCGCATCCTGGTGTTTTGCAGAGTGTGAGGATGGGGAAGGCCATCATGACCAGCTTCATGGGGCCCTCGATGAAAACTTGCCAGTCCCCCTGACATAGGTCTTGGTAGACCGCGAGCTTGATTGTGTTGGTGCCAATTGGGGCCATGTCGGGAGGTTGCCGAAGAGCTGGTCGAGTTATGAGCACTTTGCCGAGTTGTATGAGGCTGCCGTGGATGAGCAGAGGCTCAAGTGTGTTGGCGTGCATGGCAGGGTACATGAGGTCTTCGGCGACCAAAGTTGAAATGGATGGTGCTGGCGTGGGTGAGGATTGCAAGAGGTCCTGCGCTGAGTTGTTCTGCTCCCTGTAGGTATGGCATTGCCTGATGGACAGTGGCGAAGGCAATGCCGGTTTTGCCCTTTCCGACAGAGCTGATATGGAGGTGTTCGACCGGGATGCCGTCTTCTCCAACAAAAGTGTTGGGTATCAGCTGTAGCTCGCTGGGATCGAGTTGAGGGTCCGGTCGGTTGCGTTGAGTGTCAGTGCTGTCCCTGGTCTTTTTCTTGTTCGAGGTGGAGATCCCGTATTGTGTGGATGCTCGTTGTTGGATTTTGACCATGAGTTCCTCGGGTTTGACCCATAGGAATGGGTGTGCTGGCTTGTTGCCCAGTGACTTCAAAACGCTCCAAGGATTCTTGGAGTGCATTGCGTCGGTGATTGGTTTGGCGCCGAGCTGTTTGGTGGCTGCTGCTGCCCGATCTCCCGCTAGGGCAGGAGGAACTCCTTTTTCGATCAGGAGGTTGCTGAGTGAGGGAAGTGTGTTGTCCAGGGCGAGTTGTGGTGGGCCCCTGGCGACGTGCATGTGCGTGGTGGTAGGATGTCCCTCACGGACTTGATGATGCCACGCTGTGGTGTCTGGGTGGTAGTTGTCCGGCCAGAGGTTGAGAACGTGGCCAAGGTGTGCCAGAGCGACTGTGCCACAGGAGCAATCATCTTGTTGGTCGAAGATTGTGAAGTTGTGAATGCTGGTGCATTCTGTCTCCCAGAGTTCAGCGAGGCGCTGGGCCAAGTGGTGCCCTCCCGCGAGGGATCGAGCGGGTAGACCATCGTAGATGGTTGCCGCAAAGCCTGTGGTGGTTGGCACGGTAGTCAAGAGCGCCCAATGGTCATCATAGGCAAAGATGATGGTGGTGAGAAGCTGTGGGTTGCATTGCTCGAGGAGTTGTAGGGTGTTGTGGTCGATGGTGGGTCCGTCGTCGTGGTGGTGCTGGATAAGAAGAGGAGCTGGGCACTGAAAGGGATCGCCACCAAGCTCCCCATGTAGGCGTGCAATCCAGGTGAGCTCCGCACTGATTTGCTGGTCGTTGAGTCCTTCCAAGGAGTCGCCGGCTGCCGTGATTGGGGAGCGACAAGGAATGACGGTGTTTTGCCAGATTCTGGTGTCTAGCCGGAGTGGTTGTCCTTGCAGGTCTACCGGAGTGTGGAAGGTGCAGCAGAGGTGTGCTTGGTGACGAGTGTGTAGGGGCCTTGCCAGCCTTGATCTTGGAGAGTGGCTTCTTGTGGGACCGGCCGTGGTCCATCCCATAGCTGGACACAGGCCCCCGGGTCGATGAGCCTGACCTCGGCTTGAAGAAGGTCGTGGACGGTCTGGTGTCCTTCACGAAGCACGTGAAGGTTGTGCCCATGTTGGTCCTTGATCCACACATGCCGGGTGGCGTGTGAGTGTTCAGTGGTCCAAAGGTGGTGTCGTTGCCATTGAAGGTGGTTCTTGGTGTGTTGGATGTGGATTTGGGGTTCCACCACCGGTTCCCAGCCGTAGAAGAGCTGTGTTGCCTGAACGAGGTGTAGGCACATCCATTGGGCTTGAAGAGGGGCCGCAATTTGCCCGATCAGGCAGAGGCCTGTCCTGGGTCCACCTGGAAACTTGAAGTTTGGTGGTACCGTGCAAAGGAGTGCTGCTTCTGCTGTGTGCAGGAAACGAGGCTTGCCGGTGGTCTGGGATAGGACGTAGCAGCCTCTGACCCCTCCGCGTTGGAGTCGTTCAGGACGAAATGCTGCGTTTCGGCATCCACATGGGCACTTTGTGAACACACTGCCATATGAGTGTAGGATCGTGGGGCATACTCCGGATTGTTCCAGGAGCCGAGTCTCCATGCCGAAGAGATGATTGTTGTAGTGGTAGAGCTCGGTCTCGGTGAGCTGTAGTTCTTCTTCAACTTGGTTGTCCCACAGCGGCCAGTCAGGGATGATGTGCCCGATGGTGCTGTGGAGGTCGTCTTTGGCCCAGGGTTTGAGGTTGGTCAAGTCGAATTCTCGTGGGGCAAGTAGTGCCCACCATCGATCACGGCGGCATGGCCACTGATCTTGAAGCGCCAAGGTGAGCGTCTTCACCTGGAGGCGGAGCGCGTCCGCAAGCAGCTTCAGGTTCTCCCGGATGAAGGGGTGACCTTGTACGGCAGGAACGCATTCAAGTAGTATCGCCGGAGCCTGCATAAGCCACGCCGCCCTCAGGGTGGCCAGGAAGGTCCAGCTGCGTGAGTCTTTGGCCCCCTGCATGTCTCCTTGAGTGGAGTACGGTTGGCAAGGGAAGCCCGCACTGATCACTGTTCGCCGTAGTGAGCCTGGTTCATGTAGTTTGGCCACGTCTGCGATGTTGCAGACATCGCCCTGGATGACGTTGGAGGCGCCGTTCAGGATCAATGCTTGGCAGCTGAGAGGATTGATCTCAAGGTGCGCGATGGGCGTGATGCCGGCCAAGGTGGCTCCCATGCCAATGCCCCCCATGCCTGCACATATTTCTTTCATGTGCTGGTAGGCCTGGATGGTGATGGGCTCGTGGAGGAACCACTGCGATTCAGGTTGCCGAGCACCAGCTGACAGGCTTCGAGCCGAGACTTTTTAGCCTTGCTGTCAAAACACCGGGTCCGGAACCGCGGCAAGCTGATCGCCCCGTCTTTCTTGGGGGGACCCGCTCCAGCCTGTCTTAAGACAAACTGTCTTCTGGGCAATTCGTGAGAAAGGAACCAGAAATACACTGGGAGGGTCTGCCTCTCATATCAAAGCCGGCCAACTTTCAGCCCCCCCAAGCACACTCTTGTTGTTTTGGAAGCCATCCAGCTCTTTCAAGAGAAATACCAGCCACCGACTGAGCCAACCACTCCAAAGTGGGGTTTGCGTGGCCGCTTCTTCGGCGTTCCCATCCGTTGCGCCCGCAATTTTTCGCCCCCGTCCAAAGCAAAATGAGAAAAGCTCCGTCCGGGACGACGAATCCAATCCGGCGGGATGTCCAAAGAGCCGATCTAGAATCGACCCCTACCTTCCTGAGCTTTTTGTTGGCGCGAAAAAGTCACCATACTTTTTGTTGGCCGCCAAAAAGGTCCATGTTGCCACTCTGGTTCAGACTTGTTGTTTGCCCCAAAAGGTGCTTCCTGAGTTGTATTGCGCGAAACAAGTAAACAACTGTTTGCTGGCCACCAAAATGGTCCAACGCGCGCGTGCGCGCGTGCGCGTGCGCGCGCGCACGCCAAAAAGCGAAACTCTGGAAGCGCTCACAGTCCTGGTGGCCCAAATGCCGCAGCCTGAGCACCGCGTCCCCGAGGTGCTCCCTCAAGGTGGCCTCGCTGTCCTCCACGCAGACGTCCTGCGGGGCGGTCGGTTTTGGTTGGCCGATTTTCCGGGGTTGAAGGCGTTTTGTGGGAGATGTTCTGGGGTTGAAGGCAGGGTTCACTTATTAAACGGAGAACCCCTGGGTTTAAGTCTATCTTGGGGTAGTCAAAAAGTGGGAACCCTGTTTAGGCCGATTTTCCGGGGTTGAACAGGAAACCACACAGGACACTCGGCAAACACTTTGGGGAGGCCATGGGCCCTGCATGTCACAGCTTCGGATGTTCAAGGGAAAGCAAACCAACAAGGCCCCCAGTTGTAGGGGTTCCCTCCGCTCCAAGAAACTCATTCGCCTTCGTCCCCACAAAATCTTGGCGCTTAGGAGGCCCGTTTTGAACGGCTGACAATGGTGGTCCAAATCCTTGAGACACCCCACAGCGCAGTGGCCCAAAACACCCACAAAGAAAAGGTTCACCTTTGGGGCCATGACTATATGGACCAAAATGGAACCCAAAAGTCATTGCAGGCCGTTTCCGAGCAAGCGAAAAAAATACCTTTTAGAACCTCTTTTCTTTGGGCAGGTCCCTTTTTTTGCTTGGTTTTACAGGGAAACCAAAAGGACAACCCACCGCTTTTTGGGGGGGTCCCCAGAAAAAAAATAACGCACCCCTTTTAGAACCCCTCGACAATCTTCACCACTCCGGGGACTGGACCCTCCTGCCAGCGACAGCTGCCACGGAGCCGCATCTGCCACACTGTGAGCTCCCCACGAAAGCCCGGGAGCTCTGCAGTGATCTCCGCAGCTCCCTGCAGGGACAGGGGTCCCTCGCCTTCACATTTTTGTTTGGACCTCCAAAAGCGGAATTCAATCGTTTCAAGCAAACCCACCAGCAAGCTTGGAGGAGTTTCCTTGTGTTGGACCTCCAAAAGTGGCAATCATTTCAATGGAAACTAATTTGATCAACTTTTGGAGGAGAAATCCCTTCAAGACCCCTGCAGGAGTGCCATCAGAACCTCTTTCTTTGGCATGTCTCCAGGAAGGCAGCCAGCTGTTAGCCACACCATTCCTCCCAAACACTGCTGAAGGTCATGGTCATGATGTTCCCTTTCTTGTCTAAGATGACTCACTGTCCCAAGTAAAGGCATCAAACCGCCTTCTCCCCGCCGACTGCTCGACCCGGACGGGACTTGCGGCCGTTGGAGGGTGCAGGGCGGATCATGGCGATGGTTTTCTTAGGTTTCGCTTATCATGGTCCAGGATTACCATTTAAGGGCTATGACCATCCCTAGTTGCTCTAAATAGAAGGGTGTGTTTGCCATGGCAGATGTTTTGGATGACTCGGTTAGTGTCCACAATGATAAACCACAAGGAGGGCCATACTAATCACATGTGGTTTCCCCGGCTAGTGAGAATTAGTGCATGTTTAGCGTGATCCATTGGATTACTCAATAAAAAAATATGGTTTAAAAACTAAGCAGGCAGAAATAAGCATCTTGTTTGGGTATCACGTGCCAAACTAAGCAGAGATAGAACGTGCTTGCTTTGCTATTTAGGTTTTAGGGTTTGCTTATAGGGAACCCCCCCAAGCTAAGAACAGATCCAAATGTAGGGCAATGGCGACTTGTATTCTGAGAAAATCCCCTGCTGAGGCCCGATACAGCGGAAGATGCCTGAAAAAGACATCACAGCCCTCAGGTTGTATTCATCAACTGGGTGCCCATTCATTCCCAAGAGGGCTACCAAATGGTCTAAGATTGGGGTGTTGGACTTTTCTCTGGTCAATCTTGTCGAACTCCCAAAAGGGAAAAAGGAGAGTAGGTTCTTGGTGGGTGGAGGGACCAAAAACTGTCCGAACTGTTTTTTGCCACCAAAATGGTCCTCCGAAAAGGCTTAGAGTCCGTGAACTCGGGGAGCACTACCCGGGACCCAGATGGTCGAACTTTCGGTTCGCCGAAATGTTCAAAACCCGAAAGGAAACAGGCCACTTCTTGTCGGATTTGGCAAGCCAAAAACTGCCGCAGCAAGCAACTGGAGGAAGTGAGGTTTTTTTCCGCAATCTGCCAACATAAAAAGAAGCCGAAGCCCCCCCCCACTTCTATAAGTTATCCCCCCACAAACGAAGGTGGTTTTTGTTTTCTTTAGCTTCCCTTTCGCACCGGGTGGGCCCCCTTTTGGGTACTTTGAAGAGGGCCCCCGCACACTTTTGAGATGGCTTCTTCTAGGTTCCCTGCCACAGGGTACCTCCACTTCCATTTGCTTACGCCCCCTGGAAAACTGTTTAACATATTTCCAGTAGTGAAATAGATTCCTTTTAAAACCAGCAAGGGAAAATAAAATAATGCTCGTTTCAGGAAATGGAAGCTAAGGGTACCTCCAACAAACACAAAATGAAGGCTGTGTTTGATTCTTTTAGTTTCCCTTTCACACCAGCCTAAGGGTACCTCCGACAAACACACCCATTTCCTCCCACGTTCACATCCTCCGCCTCCGCCAGAAAGCGCAGCCGCCCGCCGCTGCTAAAGCTCAGGGACACGCTGTGCCGAAAGGCCTCTCGCTCGCCCAAATTTTGAGCACGGAAGAAACAACTTGAGCAACAACTCCTTGCGTCTTTTCTTTTGGGTTAAAAATCCTGCAACCAAGCTCGTTTATTTTTTTTGAAAACTCCATCAACTTGGTTTGAGGCAAGCCTCCAAACTGTTCGAACCACCGCCTTTACTGTGGGTACCCGTCTGGTCTTTTTTTGGGTTTTCCCCCGGCGGATTTTGCGAACCAGACCCTGCCTCCCGGAGCCCCGGGCCCACCACGGAGGTGCGCAGCGAGTCGCAGTGCACCCGCGACACCTCACGAGGCGAGGGGCTGGGTGGGGAGGGAGGGGAGCCCAAATCAGCCTCAAACAGGGATCCATACATTGTACACCTGAACATTGCCTTGTAAATGGTGGGTTCCCTTTATGTTGGTAGAAAAAGCCATGTTTCAGAGTGCGAGTGAGCGGAAACGACGCCCGAAGACCTACCTGGAGTCTCAACGACCCGAAATAAAAATGAGGCCCTGACCAACCATTTTGGGTAATGACCAACCATTTTTTAAGGGTCAGAAGGAGACTCCAGGTACTGCGGATGGACGGAATCCGATTCGCACCACCTTGAAGCCATGGGAAACCATTATTGGTTGTTGGCATTTGCACTTTTACAGGGGAAACAAAAACATTTTAGGGCTTCTTAGGTGGTGCGAAATGGAGATCGTCCATCCACAGTATTGGCCACGAAGGGATTTCCACAAATCAAAGGTTGATGAATTTACTGATGCTTAAAGGGGCGATCGATTCGGTCCGTCAGGTGGTTGGTAAGCCTGGTTCGAACCCACTTAGACTTATAACCACGCTTATAACCAAACTTACTAACCACTAAGTATCCGGCCTGCGCTCAGTCGAAATGTGCTCCCGGTGAGTTGTCTTGCTTTTCTTGTGCTTGGAAAATCCGGTTGCTTTGATTGTCTCCAGATTGAGTTCTGGAAACCGCAGGCCCGATGGAAGATGGAAAATTTCGATTGCGAATACCGGCCCCAAAACAAGTCCACAAGCTTCGGTCTCTGAAAACTGAACCGAATCGAACTGTCACCCTGGTCACTTGGCAAAAAATCAAAAATCCCAACTTAGAGAATTGCAAAAACGAACAGAGAATTGCAGAGGCTCGCTCATAATTTGCAGAGGCTGTCACAGAGAAGATCCCATGTTCAAGCCACCAGGCCACCAAACCACCAAGACAGCATCTAATCAACCAACCAACCAACCAACCAACCAAGCAAACCAAATTCAACCAAACCACATACAACCAAACCCAGCGACACCAAACTAATCCTAAGCAAGCCAAATCAAACCAAACCATTAAATTGAACCAAACCAAACCAAATCCAACCAAGTCAAATCGAACGAAATGAAAACAACCAACACCACAAAAAAAACGAAGCGAAAGCCACCAATCCCAACGGAACCCAACCAAACCAAAGCAACCCAAACCAAGACCACGGAATGTCAGCCCAGTCGCCATGCACATCTCAGATGTGCAGGACAGCACCAAGTAGCAGGGCTCTCCCATCTCATCTCTCTCCGTTCCGCCCGGCCCCGCCACCGGCACCATCTTGATGAAGAACCCCACCTGCGAGAACGGCGCGAGATCGGCCCCGGCATCCCTGCGCCATTCGACCCCCTGGACGGTAGACAATCACTTCAGAACGCTAAAAAAAAATCACTTGTGAACGCTGCCACTTTCGATCACTTCCGAACACGTTTTTATGTTCATCTCAAATCTGTGTTCCCCCTTATTCGTTTTTAAAAGGGTGTTTTTGGGGAGCTTGTTTATCGTTTTCGTTAAGGTAATCATTTGGGTAAATTGTCGCCTTGTTCATTGTTGGGCTGGGGGCCGACATTTTTTTCATTTGAAAGAGTTAACCCTTTTAGTAGTTATCAAGTTCTGGGGTGTTGGTGGTTCATTTGATTTATCTTATTCTTTGTTCAAGTCATATTCAAAATCTGATGAGGTTTCAATGTATTCTCTTATTTCTTCCTGTGTTGTTTGTGGTTTGTTTTCTTTTGTTGTTTCTTCCGTCTTTGGTGGTTTTGGATTCTTAACATTGTTGATGTGTTTTTTGGTTCTTTCATGTTCTGCTTTGTGTTGAGGACTTACCATACATCTACAGTATTGACATTCAATTTTTTGTTTTATGTATTCTTCCCTGCATTCTTTCATGTATTGTTGTTTGTGTTCTTTGTTTTGTTCATAATAAACCTTTGCCTTTTGTTGTATTTCTTCTTTGTGTGCTTCTCTATACCGCCGTTTGCTCTCCAAGCATACATTACATTGTGTTCTTCCTTCGTTGAACTTTTCTAACAATTGAAAGACTTTACATTTGGAACATTGCTTTTTGTCTGTCATTGGTCTCTATATGTTTAAGGGGTTATTTCTTTAGATGAGTTTAGGGGGTGTTATAGGTTAAAAGTTCAGTATAATTATAACATATAAGATTTTACATGTTATTATTATATTATGATTATAATTTCAGTTCAGGATAATAATCTAATTGGTTTGTCTTACTTCTTTCATACATCATTTTACAAATAATATTAACATCTCTCACTGTATTCTGAACATTAAACTTTTTACTTTCAATAAATAATTTGATATTTTCTTTAACATCTTCTCCTTTCTCTTGACTATAACCCAACATCCATAATATATCATAAATCATGTCATATTTTTCTTACTGATTTTAAGAAACTGTTTAACATAATCGTAAGGTGGTATTTTATTTACAGTTAGAAATATTAAAATCTCATCTTCTACATTTCTATTATGTCTTCCTTTTATTCTCAACAGACATTTGATTAAAAATTGATTATCTCTCCATTCCTGACAATTTTCACATTCGTCTTTTTCATCCATTGAATAATTAATAATATTATTCACTATTTCATTAGGTAAATTCAATTTATACAATTCCATATTTTCTTTTTTGAAGTGACAACAATCATAGCATTTTTTATCGATATAATTATTGATTCCATCACCGTTCATTTTTCTCTTAATATATAAGGTAATATTTCTTTAAGTAGTTTTGGCTAGGGGGTTGCTGGTCGGCTGGTCTGGGTTTCAGGTTTAATTTAAATGTCTTAACCTTCTTGTTAGATTATAAAACAATGTTTAATCATATTATAAGATAATAATATTAATAAACAAAAGTTAATTTGACCCGTATTCAATCTCACCAGCGATACAACCACTATAACAACTCATACTATACTCGCAACAATAATGCTCGTATCCTTTTATTAATTGGTCTGTGTAAATTTCAATTAATTCGCTAAGAATATATCTCATATAATAATTGTTATTTCTATATGACCACCAACTGTTTAGGTTTGGAAAGCTAAACCCACAACGTTTAATTGTTTTTAAAGCTTCAATGTTAAGACAATGTCTTAAAACTAAACAAACTTCATTTTCATTATTCTTACAGTATGATTTTAATGCTTGATAATACATTTTTCTATTTTTAAACCGTTCTTTAACTTCTTGTATATCAAATACTCTGTCAATGTTTTTTTCTGTAATGTTTTAAACTAAAATGGTATCCTGTTAGTTGTGTAATATCATTATTTTGCACTTTATTTTGCATTTGTTTAATAATGTTTAATTGAAGTTCTGCTTTTTCCAGTCCTTCTTCAGGAATGTCTTTATTTCTCTTAAAATTTTCTTCTTCATCCATCAAATACCAACAATCAAAACATGTTTCTCTAATATAGCCTCCTATAAGATTACACACATCAACAGGTAAAATATTAGCTAGTGCCACGACAGACTTACATTTATTTTTACAAGGACAATGGTCATAATTAAACAGTGTCATTTTTTTCTCTTACTATATTAGATCCATTTTTCTTTAAGTAGTTTTTTATTTTATGTTGAGGGGTGGGGGTTTATATTGAAAAAATATTTTCTAACAATTTAATATAATGGCGAGATTAACAAAAGACCAAATAATCAGCAACATCTATTACGACTTAGACGAGGGTTTCGGAAGCACACAAGCGACACACAAGAAGGCAAATGAAGAAGACCCAACAATAACATTAGACGATGTAAAGTCTTTCTTAAAGAAACAACCAAATAAACAAATCAAAAATTATAGAGGTACTAATTCCTATACCGCTCCATTCGCACGATATGAATATCAAATAGACATAATGCATATGTCACCTTTAGCAAAAGACAAGAATGTTCCACAGTATGCTTTAGTCGTGATTGACATCTTCAGTAAATTAGCTGATGTAATACCGATGGAGGAAAGAGACGGAGAGCACGTTTTGAAGGCGTTGAGAACAAGCTTTAAAAAGATGGGTTATCCGATGTCCGTGTATTCTGATGACGACGGAGCGTTTGCAACTAAAAATCACGTTCAGGATTTCTTCAACAGTGAAGGAATAAACCACATCGTTACGAAGACCCACGCAAATGTAGCCGAGCGTTTTATTAGAACGATGAAAAACAAAATTCACGATAGAGTTAGGTTTAACAACATGAAATGGACCGAAGCCCTAACGCCAGCATTGAAACAGTATAACAGCACATCTCACTCATCAACAAGGATGACACCGTCTGAAGCACACAAGGACGACAATGAAATAAATGTAAAGGTCAATCTTAAACTACGAGAAAAAAACAAAAGAAAGTATCCCAAAATAGAGGAGAACGACAAGGTAAAAGTGTTTCAAAAGAAAAGGGGTAATTACACCGACAGAAAGGAGTATAACTCTAAATGGTCTAATAAAATATTCAATATCGATAAAATTGAATATGATATTATGGGTAATAAAACTTACAAAGTAGCAGGAATAAACAAACCGCTTTTGAGACACGAAATTTTGTTGGTTAATGATTAAACGTATTTCTTGGTGTCTTCTTTATACTTGACTTGATAGTAATCCAGACTTGATTGTTTAGGTTCTTTTATGACTTTTTCATTCAGTTTTTTAACATAAATGTTTCGTTTATTTTTGTATTCGCTACTGTCTCTATCTACTTCTTTTGCTTGATAATTGTTATTGTTATTATATGTAGGTTTAAGATGTTCAGTATGTTTTCATTTTGCTCCAACACTTTTTCTAATCTTGGAAACAACAACTCCAAACTACTGTCAATGTTCTCTAAATGTTCTTCCATATATATACTAAATTATAAAACTAAACTTTTAAAACTAAATGTTGCAATTATGTTAAATCTACTCTTTAAATACTAATTGTTCATTATTTGTTTAACTGTTTCCTGTGTTTCCTTATCACCATTATCGGATGGTGATGCATGCCTTCCCCATTTGATAGCAATATTATGAACATCCGTTTCCAGATTTATACTGTCTTTAGTTTTATCAATATTCATTTTCTTATCATTTTTACTTATTTTGAAACTTGTTGGAATACACGAACATTTACAATGTCCTTTCTTTTGTATTTCTAATTCATCTTTCATTTCTAACATCTTTTTACACATTGGACAAGCAAACTCAATAACTGATGTTTCTTTAACAATTTCATCTTTTTCTTCATCAGTTGAAGAAACAACTGGCTCGGTCTTATTCTTTTTCTTTCTTCCCATCTATATTAATATCTAAATTTTTAATATATTGTATTCCTAACTTAATTAATTCTAATGAATAATAACAACATTTCTTAATTTTATTATCGGTTATTATTACTTGTTCTATATTTTCTACTTTATCTATTATATCAATATAATCCGAATAACTTCTATTCATATAAAATAATAAATATAAAATATTTTCTAAATAACTTTAATATTATTTTATTATGTCTGATGTTCCAATAATAAAACCAATAAATATAACTGATTACGATTTCAAACAATCTAAATATGAACATGTACCAAAACTACCTTTTCGCTCCATTGTTGTTGCTTCATCAACGGGTGGCAAAACAGTTTTAATTCAAAACCTTATCCTAAATGTTTATAGGGACTGCTTCGCCCGTATATTCATTTTTAGCCCGTCGGTTCATAATGACCCTACCTTCGTTGAAGTCAAGAAATATCAAAAAGATAATATGAAGGTTGATGATGAAAAAGAAAAGTTATATTATGACACCTACCAACCTGAAGAACTGGAAGAAATAATTAACACACAAAGAAAGATAATTCATTATATGAAAGAACAGAAGATGAAGAAACTACATTCAATTTTAATCATTGTTGATGATTTTGCAGACGACCCTAAATTTGTTAGATATAGTAAGTTATTGCATGGGTTGGCAACGAGAGGTAGGCACGATGCCATTAGTTTTTGTTTAAGTGTTCAAAAATACCGTGTCCTAGCACCAATCATTAGGTTGAATTCAAGTTCGTTGTATATCTTCAAGTTAAAGAATGTATCAGAGTTAATGTCATTCATTGAGGAAAACTCCGCCATCGTTGATAAAGAGCAACTGTTAAATATGTATCATAAAGCGGTAGATGATAAGCCCTACTCCTTCTTTTATGTTAATATGAATTCCAAAGATGTTAATAATATGTTTTATGTTAGATTTGAAAAAGCATTTAAAATAAAATAAAGATTTAAATATATTATGTTGTTTTATGATTTACCATTA